GAGAGAGAGAGAGAGAGAGAGAGAGAGAGAGAGAGAGAGAGAGAGAGAGAGGGAGGGAGAGAGAGAGAGCAGGCACGATGACTAGGCAAGAGATATGTTGCATAAATCAATAAACCCTTTGTTTTAATCTCAAGATTAGACAACAGCCTATATACAGACCCAAAAAAACTAATAGCTGTCACTGAATATCATATTATTGACGCCGACAAAAATATTTTGTCTCGAATCTCTCGAGAAAACGAATCTAATTCAGCGATTCGCCTCGGAAACATTGGAAACCATAAGCAGTCCCCAAATGGTAGTAATACCGATTAATCTTCCCCACAGAGTTCGTATTGTTCGACCCGTGATAAAGGGACCACAAAGACACAGTGTTAGTCAAATTTACATTGGTGCTCGGAAAGTACCCGTTTCTGGAAAAAGCAAATTTTGGATGCACCAGTTTCTGATTAATCGGTATAAATCGAGCCACGCTGATTTTTTTAAATTATTATATTTCAAGTTACTGTTGTTTGTTGTTTTTCCAAAACTATTTTTAAAAATCATTTTCAATTTAGTCTTTTCCTGGGGTGGGGTAGGGGTGGGGAAGATTAAAAGAAAACCAGAACTTTTAAAAGAAGTGATTTGAGGAATTACTATGTCCCCATATCGAGTTTTAGTTCGAAATTACACATAGATCTACCTACAAAGTTGTCAATTTCCATCTCTGGTCGACTTAACCCCCTACAAACAAATACTTTACCGTAATACATCCAAACCTTTGAAAATCCTGCACTGGTCAATCTTTATGTTAGTATACATAAGCTTAGTATTGTCTGGTCCAAATGCCCTAACGTCGGACTCGCTGCTCACGCGGAAAAAAAACCGGATTTAGAGAAAACGAGTCTGCACAAATGTGAGATGGCTTGCATACAAAACAATTTTGTTAACCCAGTTGATATCCAGATCACTGGCTCTTAAAACAGTGACCCCTTTTGAGTAATTAAACCACAAGCAAGATTATTTTCTAACCCAGATTTTGCCCTTTTCTAATTCACTGTAATTAGTGTTTTAAACAGATTCCTCGTGTTGTCATTCTGTCTTTATTTCATTGCAAATCGGGTTAAAGTAAAATATACAGTGAAAGATAGAGGAAGAGAGAAAGGGAAAGAAATGGAGGGAGTGGGGGTAGGAGAGATAAAGAAGAGGAGGACAGAGAGGCGGGCGAGAGAGAGGGGGGGGAGGGGGAGAGAGGGAGAGAGAGAGAG